TATCATTATAATTACCATCTTATCATCGTTTCACAATAATCCTCCTCCATCACCATCACAATCAACACCATTACAATCGTTGTTTTGTCACCATTTCATTATAATTCTTTATCATTACAATTATCGTCTTATCGTTATTTTACTATAATTCCGCACCATTAGCGATATTATTACAACCACCATCTTATCAACATACTATTGTATTTCTTCACCATCATCACCAATGTCATAACAAACAATAACAACAATTATTGTCATTGTCATCACTGCTACTTGGTTATCAATGTAACCATTGTCTCTATTGTCACTCCAACATCATTCCTATCTTAATAACAATCAATACTATTAGCTTTTGCATCACTACCGCCATCATCTCTACCTTATTATGAAGTTAACCACTATTGCAGTCTTTATTTTATTACCACTACCATAACAATTATGAGAAATTTTATAATACTTAACGAGTAACTAACGGTATGTACAATAGTTATTCTATGGATCCACTATATTATTACAATAATAAAATTTATCAACGAGTAACTAATGGTATGTATAATTATAAAATTTATCAACAATTACCACCATATTGCAATCAATATTATTACAATCACCGTTATAAATGTCTACCATTATAACCATCATCAATACTACCATTACTACTACTATCATTATCTATATTGCCAACATTACAATTTTTTATCTTATTATCATTGTTAAAAAATTATTTATTTTATAAAAAAATATTTTTTAACAGATTCAAATAACTAAAAATAATCATTTTATTGAAAAAAAAATACACAATGAAAGGTTTTCCTCGTAAAAATCTCATTGTCGTGCAGGTTTGTAGCTTGAGGTTGGCCCAAAAGGGCTAAGTCCAAATTATTTCACTCGTCTCGTCTTAAAAAAAACAAAAGCCCACCGCCACCCATCCCTGAATGCCAAACGGGGTTAATTGAAGGCAGGCCAATCTAGAAAATTGAGCATCTCGGCCCAGTTTAAAGCTCCATCTGCATAGACCAACATACGGCCCTATGCTGTCAGGCTTGGTTGCTGTGCTCTTAATAGTTGGGTTTGGACTATTAATTTTGGGGCACGTGCGGGGCTGATCTAAATCAATACAGGCGAGGCGATCAATAATCAATCTGCAGGCTTGCTCCTGCATCCGACAGGGTCGTGCAAGAAGATCGTTTTTCTCGGTGCAAAATAAATTTTTGTTGACAAAAATACCAGAATCAACCTAGTTTTCTTTCATTTTTTTATAAAAAATGAAATTGCCAACTTCAACTTTTGACCGTTCATTTAGAGATAAACAGTCCGGTCAAAAAGTTAGAAGCTGTGTTTGGTGAGCCGCCACCAGTCTCAAGCTAAAGTTTTTTCTACTAACCCTCATTTTTTAATTCACTATAGTTGAGATGGAATTTGAAAAACTTAAGAGAATATAAATTTAAATATCAGATGAAAAAAGGAAAATAGTAGATTAATTAAAATATCTTGTAGTCTTTTTTTTTTATAGCAAATTATATTTTTGAATAATCTTGCATGCAAATCAAAACTATTTTTTTTTTTTACCAATGGATATAAAAGTGCAAACTGCTATATGGACCTGGTGAATTAAAATGATTTTTTAATGCTAATTTTAAAATTTAAATTAAAAAGTTAAACAAGAGAGAAAACTTTCATAACACTGTGCCAGTCTCTTAAGATTTTATAACAATTTTATATTTTTAGTAATATAACTGTTTTTGTTTTAAATTTAAGCGTTTAATCGATTGAATTTTATAACTTAACAACAAAATACAAGTGTATGTCTTTTTCTAATGATGATCTTCTCCGCCACTCACCTAAAAGATGGTCCAAAGTAAAAACTTCTACGGATGCTTTTGTTTAAGCTGTTTAGTCCCAACTAGCTGGTTATTTGCACTATGTCTGTTGATCTAATAGAATAAACTTATTTTAAAATTTAAAAAAAATTTAATTATAATTTTTTATTTAATTAATTTTTTTAAATATTTTTTATAAATTCTCTTGCTTAAAAAAAAAGTCATTCTTCTTTATGGACGGAAAAAAATCTTCTCATTAGAATTAAAAAACTTTAAAAATATATGTTTTTCATAATATTGTATTTCAAAAAATAAAATTATAATTAATAGATAGACTTTTATAAAAACTAACAAATGGAAAAAAATTCTTATTTAATGCTAATGAGAAGATTAATTTTGAAATTATCAACGCAACGCTATAGTAGATATAACAAAACCATTTCAAAATTTTATAATTTTTTCATTAATTTTTTATTTAATTATTACTATTTTTTGTGTTTTTCATAAATTTTTTCTTAAAAAAAACATAATTTATTTTTCTTTATTTAGGGATTCCTAAATAAAAACTTGTAATATATAATTTAAACATGAAATATTAATTAAGAATATAAAAATAAATGCTTTAAAAATATATTGTTTTAGAAGAATATATCCAAAAAATATTTTTACAATTAATATATAGACTTGCATAAAAATTAACCAATGAAAAAATAAAATATTTTTTATTTAATGTTGATGAGAAGATTATTTTTTAAAAAAATACATATATTTCGTATATATATAGTATATGATTGTTAGTTTGTATGGAAAAAAAATTATTGATTTTTAAAAATTTTAACACCCAATTAAATAAAAAAAGAACACAAATTGATGGAAAAAATCAAAGAAAAAAAAAAGAAAAGATATGTAGTGCATCGAGTTAGGGATTAAAATTTTTATTTTAAAATTTCGGGGATTAAAATGAAATAATTTGAAAATTACAAAAAAAAAAAAAAACTAAGGAAAAAAAGTAAGAGTGAAAATTACCAAAAAAAAAAAAAATCAAAACGAAATAATTTGAAAATTACAAAAAAAAACCTAAGAAAAGAAGAAAACAAAATGAGAGTGAAAATTTAAAAGAAAAAAAACACCTAAAGTGAATAGTATATTGTGAGGATAAAAAAAAAAAGGGGGGGGGGGGAAGGAGTGAGTAGTACAAAAAAGGTTTAGGATAGTAAATTTTATTTAGTTTTAGCATAGTAAAGATACAAATCAAACATAATAAAAATTTCATGACTAAAATAAAAATATATCACAAAATAGAACCAAAAAAATAATTTTTACTAAAAGTCAAGAAAAAAATATTTATTAGAAGGATAAAATCTTAGAAGGAGAAAAAAAGCAAAGCTAGGCAATTGTTGGGTCAGTTGGGTTCAACCCAAAAAATAAAAAAAGAGAAAAGGCAGTAAAACACTGTTCATTTAACAGTAAAAAGGCATAGTAAATGTGCCTTCTGTTTTAGACTATTAGTAATTTATTTATAAAAGAATGTATAATATTGAAATAAATCAAAACTTTTAGTAAATATAATTTTAAATTTATTTGATGAGAATGTAAAAAAAAGATAAAATTAAAATAGTAAATTTGAAATAATAAAAGTAATTAACAAAAAACACTAAAACAAAATGGAATCAAATCACAATACAATTAATGTTTAAAATTGAAAAAAAAATCTATAGAAAAATTGAAGACCATATAATTTTAAATTGATTGGATGAGAATTTTTTAAAATGAAAAATTAAAATAGCAAAATTTAAATAATAAAAATAATTAACAAAAAAATATTAAAAAAATGAGATCAAATTACATTACAATTAAAGTTTAAAATTAAAAAAAATATAAAAAAATTGAGGATCAAAGTGTTACAAAAATGATATAAATAATGAAAGGAATAATGATTTATGAGTATATGAATAACGATTTATGAGTGTGTGAACAATATTATGAATAGTGAAATATCATTTTACTTTGGTGTTTTATATATATATAAGAAAAAAGAAAAAAAGAGGCCAGGTGCTGGGGAAAAAAAAAGGAAATAAGGCCAGCCCAAGGCCTTGGCTGCTGGGTATATATATATGTAGAAGGAAAAATAAAAAATAAAAAAAAGCTAGGCGGAGAAAAAAGAAGAAGAAGAAATAAGGCTAGCCAAGGCCTTCAACCAAAAAGAAAAAGAAAAAAAAATTATATATAGATATATAATTAGAAGGAAAAAAACAGATGGCAGGCGTTGGAAAAAAAAAAACAAAAAGAAAGAAATAAGGCCAGCCACGTCCTTAGCTGCTGGGATTAACAAAAAAAAAAAAAACAAAAACAAAAGGCAGTTGAAAAAATACTGTTCATTAAACAGTGGAAGGAACAGTAATAATGAATGGTAAAAATTATTTGTGTTTTAGAGTATTAGGAATTAATCCTACTACTATCCGAAAATTTGATGTGCGTATAATATTTCTAAAACTGCAACGGTAAACATGCTTTTACTGTTCCACTACTAGAACATTCAAAATTCACCCTTGGAAAAATTGCCTGTGTTTCTTTGGCAATCCTATTTACATGAAATGACTCGCGATAATTAGATTTAGAAAGCACAAGCATCCATTAGAATACGGTAGCAAAAAAAAAAAAAAAACCAGAGGGGGGATATAGTTCAAATTCGAGACGAATAAAATTAACAAGGGACCAAAAAGAAGCGAGGACAGTGATTAATATCCCATTGCCACCAAAGCCTTAACTCCAATTTTGCTTTAACGAGAAAATTAGGAAAAAAAAGTGTCAGTACATTTTAAAAAGAAAATTGTTGTAATTCTAAAATAATAATAATAAATAAATCAATCAAAGGCCTATTGCGATCGAAGCAGATTTAAGAGCGATAACTGATGAGCATAATTTGAGTAAAAAATAAAAACGCTTCACTGTTTGGACCGTTGACTTTCCAAGGCAGTATGGAGACACAAATATGTGAAATGAAACAAATAATCCCAAATCTATTGCCAAACACCTCCTATAAATACGCGTGTGCACACGACAGGCACTCAATCCAGAACAAGTGGAGAGCTACCCAACCAACGGATAAAAACTGCTGCACCACCTCATATGGCACCGTATCTCTCCCAACTAAGACTATCAACACCAAAATCGCAACCTATGGCTTCGCTCAGCGGTGCCGCCGCCACTTCCCGCTTTCTCCCCTCTGCCTCTCGCGTCCGTCTCTCCATCTCTTCAGCTTCCTCCTCACTCTCTCTCTCCTCCTCTTCCTCTTACTCTTCTTCCTCTCTCAAAAGCCTCCGATTCTCTCCCTTCGCACCTCACGTTTTTAATGAACAGGTCTCACTTCTCTCTCTCACTCTCTAAATAAACAAATTATATGCTGCTCTTTCTTTTTGTTTTGTGATTTTTTTTTTTGGGAGTGTAGAAGCGATCGTCAATGAGCACTTTTGCTGCGGCGTCGGATCCTGCTCAGTTGAAGAGTGCGAGAGACGATATCAAGGAGCTTCTCAAATCTAAATTTTGCCATCCCATTCTGGTAACACTGTATATAATTTACTTGATATAGCATTTTTCTCTCTTTAAATTTCTCAATATTAGATCATAATAAATTGCTTGATCAGTAGCTAGCCAAATAATAATATCGCTTTCTTCACTTATATAATGTTTTTTTTTCTTTATATATATAGGTTCGGTTGGGGTGGCATGACGCAGGCACGTACAACAAGAACGTAGAGGAGTGGCCACAAAGGGGTGGTGCCAATGGAAGTCTTAGATTCGAAACAGAACTTAAGCATGCAGCCAACGCAGGTAATTTTTTCACATTTTAGTTAGCGTACCTAGTAATTAGCTTGGTTTTGTAATATTTGTCGCCTAATTAACTGGAATTTTAGGGCTTGTTAATGCATTGAAACTGATTCAGCCTATCAAAGACAAGTATTCTGGTGTGACATATGCGGATTTGTTCCAATTGGCCAGCGCAACTGCTATAGAGGTCTGGGTTGCTCTTTTGCGGTTTTAGTTTAATTGGTTTGAAATCATCGTCTAAACATTTTATTGATAAATGTACTGTGGTTTTAGGAAGCCGGGGGTCCGAAAATTCCCATGAAGTATGGCAGGGTGGATGTCTCAGCCCCTGATGAATGTCCTGAGGAGGGGAGGCTTCCTGGTAAGTATTTTCACTTTGTATCCTTATCAACCATTTCAATTAGTTTGGTTTTGTTGTTAATTTTGTTGTTACAACTTTTCTTTTCTTTCCTTTTTTTTTTGAGAAACTTAATGCTTGTTATTAAGTAACTACAGTTTAGTATTGATATCTAAAATAGTCATTGGTGCATAGCTGCTGGCCCCCCTAAACCTGGTGATCATCTACGAGAAGTTTTCTACAGAATGGGATTAAATGACAAGGTAATCTTAGTTGCATATAATGCTTTGTTTGATGCTATCTCCATGTGATATTATGTTTGCTGTTTAACTCTTCAAACTACAGGAAATAGTTGCATTGTCTGGTGCACACACACTAGGAAGGTCTAGACCAGAACGCAGTGGTTGGGGCAAACCAGAGACAAAGTATACGGTATTAAAGCATCTACTGATTTTTTAGAATATAAGTTTTTCTAGATTGCTTGATGGTGGTTTGAGCAATCATCATTTGTTACTGTTATTAAAGTGTCCTTTTCGTAATGAAACCTGCTAAATATGGAGATTCTGTAGACTTTTTGTCTCATTAAACAGTTTAAATTACTATTAACTAATCGATTTCATATGCAACCATGGATATAGCTTTAACTATATTACACAAGTAAGGAACTCTAGATGATGGTTCCTAGTGATTTCCCAACCTCTTATTCAGAGTTACCTTGAAAGATTACGTAATCTTCAATATCCAGTAATCCTGATTTGCTGAATCAGTAACTTTGATTTCTATACATCTTTCTTCTCGATTGACATCACTGTGAAATGGGAGACATGCATATCTCTAGGTCATGGGCTAATAATTGTTCAAAAGCAACTATCGGTCTAACCAATCTATTACAGGTGCCTTACTAGCTACAATTGTGCACCAACCCCCCTCTGTCCAAAAAAAAAAAAAAAAAAATCTTGTTGTCCTTGATAAAATGCATGGTTGAGCATTTTGATATAGGATCATTGTATGTTTTCCAGTTTGCAAATATATGCAATTAATGGGTTATCTTTAATATCACTATCACGATCCTTCTGTCTCATCTTGCAGCACTGTATAGAGGGTAGTAATAGAAACAGTAGTAGCTATAGAAAGCATCAACAACAGTTAGATATTTACTTTTAAGTTTTATCTGCTGCATGACAGAAAAATGGGCCTGGAGCACCAGGAGGGCAGTCCTGGACAGCAGAATGGCTGAAGTTTGACAATTCCTACTTCAAGGTTTGACAATCAGAACATGCTACTTATACCATAAGAAATATATAAAAAATTTGTGGTCTGGGGAGGGTTTTTTTTTTTTTGTTTTGGGGGGTGTGGGGGGTTGGGTTTACAATGTTTATTTGCTGAATATAATTTACCTGCACAGGATATCAAAGAAAGAAGAGACGAAGATCTACTTGTATTGCCAACTGATGCTGTGCTATTTGAAGATCCTTCATTCAAGGTAAATTGGATTGAGGTGTGAGATTAAGATGGTCTAGAAGCGCAAAACAATCTTTTTAATTAGCTAAGCATTGCATAAACTGCAGGTGTATGCAGAGAAATATGCTGAAGATAAGGAGGCATTCTTCAAGGATTATGCTGAAGCCCATGCCAAGCTCAGCAATCTTGGGGCAAAATTTGATCCTCCAGAGGTTTGTTAGCCAACTGTTGTCCCTAGATGTTATGGGAAAATATTCATCTTATGCACGCAACTCAATTTTTTCAGATTAAAAAATATGTGAGAGCTTATGATGGCTGATGTTTAAGACTTCCAAGCCCTCTAAAATAGTCCCTGATTGATTACATGACTTGTGTGTACATTTACTCACAACTGCCTGCACACATTCTTTTCATGTACTCTAGGGTTAGATCTAACTTACCCTTCCATGCATGCTTAACCTCATGAACACTGCTTTTAAAGTCCTTTTCTATGTGTAACTGATTGGAACTCCCATGATCAGATTCAATTGTAAAGTACAATGGTTACAAGGAATGTTAGTAACTTGAAAAACTAATTGATGATTTGGTGATCAGGGAATTGTGCTCGATGGTGTTGCAGGAGAGAAGTTTGTGGCAGCCAAGTACTCTTCTGGGAAGGTTGTAATCACTAGCAAGTTGTTTCAAAATATTATTTTAATTATTAATCATCAAAATTCCTTCTTTTTTTTTTTTTGGTTGCATGGACGATTTATATGGCAGAAATATACATATGCAAAATGTTCATTTTTTCACTTTTCATGATTCACTGCAGGATTAAAAAAACAAGTATCTTGTTATCTACTGCCGTTTCTTTAATAATACAGACAGGATGAAGCTATTTGCAATTTCTGTGAAATCACATATAAAACTTGGAAGTCTAAATGAAGAAGAAAGGAATAAAATTCAATTGGTGTTGCCTATTTGAATTGCAGAGAGAGTTATCAGAGACTATGAAACAGAAGATACGAGCTGAGTATCAAGCAATTGGTGGAAGCCCAGATAAGCCTCTCCAGTCTAACTATTTTCTAAATATTATGATTGTGATTGCTGTTCTGGCACTTTTAACATCTCTTCTTGGAAACTAAGTTTGTTTTTGAGGATCGTTTTAAAATAGTGTTGTTTGTATCTACTTTGCTTTAATTGCTGTGCTTCCTTGGCGAAATAATGAGTTCTGCATGCATCAAAAACCTTAAGATAGTGAGCTAATGAATGTTTGAGGATCTGAAACTAGACTTTTATGTGCACATAGCATGGTTTTGGTAGTGGTAGATCACCATCTACTGCAAGTGCCTCATTGATAAGGGTGGCAAAAGCTATTCAAACACATTTTCCTGTCGAAATTCACACTTTATAATTGTTATGGACTTACTATCATAATTGGGTGACCTGTATAAAAATGAAATGACCTTGGCTATGACATTGGCCTATGGATTATATAGTAACAAATACTTTTACGTGTTCAACTGGGGAGGGGAAAAAGCAAAAAATTTGCCCGTGATAACAAGCAATAGTGGTCATATATTTTTCTAGAGTCACTAAATACAATCACGTATTTGGAGGTAGGAACAAAATTTAGAGAGACTCAATCCACTCCAGACAATTCCATTGCAAAGGTTTACATGCTCTCAGAGCTGAGTACTGCCAATTCATGATGAAATTTTATTAAGGCTTCACAATTGTAGTTTTTGTTCACTGGACTGATGACTTAACTTTTGAAATAGTTTTTCTTAAAAGCTTTTGCAAAAAGTGTTTATTACAATTCTAAAAAGGGTTTTTGAAAAAAGCTATTTAAAAGCTAAAAGTCACAAGATATAAAATGAAAAATTTGGAGCATTTTAACTATATATATTATTAAATATGTTTCTTACAATTATAACAACCACAATTACATCTACATCCTTCGTCCATTACAAAAACAATAGCTTTCCCAAACGGACCCATATCTTGATTGCACATAACATTTTACCTTTGTAGATGTTTGAATAATAATCTTGTGACTTAGTGACCATCGGTTCCTCATGCATTTCAAATTTTGTTCAATGTCTCAGGTTATTGGATGCCATACTTGAGAATTTCACTCTGTGTATGTATTTCAATGAAGATTTTATCATTATAATGGTCTTCTGCTTCTATTCCTTTTCTGTTTTTCATTTGCTTGCTAAAATGATAGCACCTAAAGATTGTGTGGAAACCAATGAGCTTATAGCTCATTGATAGTAGCCTCCGCTAGCAGCCGCCTTGGGCATGTAAGTTAGGTTGGGGGGGGGGGGGGGGCAACATCTAAGATTGTGTGGAAGGAGAACCATCGCAAGTTTGTAACCGAAGACAAGGAGGCATACATAGAGTATGTCCTTGTAAATGATGGCCAAGTGACGGACTTGTATACAGTGCACACCTGTGTCCCACCTTCCTAGAGGGGATTGTTGATTAATGGGTTTTGCCTATATATGAATTATTTATTCTTCAAATTATTGTCGCGGAGATCCCCCTCCCCTATATATATATTAAAACTCTCTTGTTTAAGACTCTTTCATAATATTTTTAGTTGGGACTAATGTGACGATGGCGTGGCAAGCCCACATTTGAATGTATGACACTTTTCGCACGTGATATATAGAAATTTGATTGCACAAGCTTTAAAAAATAAGGATCAAATTTTTTTATGAAAAGAATTGAGGACAGAAAATATAAATAAATGATCAAATTGTTAAAAAAAAATTATTGTTTTACATGCCAAATTATTTTTTAAAAAAATTATGACAAATGAAATAGTTTTACAAATTATTTGTAGTCGGTATTAAATGATTGATAGGTAGACGAGTAGTAAAAGGTAAGTACTTATGAATATTTGATTGATTCAAAATGAAAAATTAAATTGCTATCTCAAAAAAATTTGAGACCGTATCACGTTTTTTTTATATAGATAATTCGTTAATAATCAACATTGCTAATGTTATTTTAATATCGATGAACATATTTGTACTATTTTTTTTAATTGCATATTATGTTCCTTTTGTATGTGTTTTATTATTTTTAAATTATTATAATATTTTTTTATAAAAATGCTCTTCAAATTTTTATTGTGATGAAGTCATATATGGTATGTTTTGCTACATTCAAGATGAGGTTCTAAACAAACAATAAAATTAAAATTAAAAAATAATAATAATAATTTGACTTTTGTAATTTTAATTGTTTTGATTGAGTATTTTTGTATGACACCTGTTATGTATTCAGAAGTAGACGAGCATGTTAGCTCATGAGTATCGGTGCTATAATAAAGGATCACAATCAATAAAAAACAAGAGTGCAAAGTCTCAATTAAAAATCATTCAAAAAATAGAAGATCCAAATATGAACAAAACTGTTAATAAATAGATTCAGCTATAAATCAACTTCGCTATAGTTTTGATTTCTTTTTTAAGAAAAATTCTGCAATTTATATTAGATTCTTAGAGGAATTATTATTGTTCGTGTTCCGTCCTGTATTTCAAATTCTAGTAATCTCTATACCCAGCCACACTCATTTGCAATTCACATAAGAAAGTGATCTGAGAACTTTTCACTGGCGAGGCTACGATATTCAAAGCAAAGATCTAATTGAATAAACTTTGAGAATTAGGGATCAAAATATTTTTTTTGAAACTTAGAGAATAAAAAACTTATACATAAAGGACCAAAATGTGAAAAAATAGTTTTAATGACCAAATTGTTTTTGCATAATATTTTTCGCGGTTATAAATGGATTCTAAACAAGGGGATTAGCTAAATGAGGGCAGAGTATTAGTGGAGTAAAGATTATATAATTTCTTATAGATAAAATATTTTCTTAATAAGTAAGGTAAAAAATTAAATAAATTGGCCGCGTATTTTGCCATTGGCATCCCTATTCTCAACATGCAGAAGCTGTCAAGCTGGCAAAGGCCAATGGAACTGGACTCAAAGATCGACGCTAGTTTGCAGAGGAGAATAAATTAAAAAACTGAAATAAGTACTAGTAATCACCACCAGTCTTCCAGAAAATTACTAACTTCAACAATCAAGCCCAGTCAACCAAGTTCAAATTCTAAGGGAGTTCTGGCTCATTCGCACCCATTACCACACTGGCATTCCGACGCTGAACAAAGTAGATTCTATCACAATGTGATTCCAGGATTAGAAAGCAAACAATAGAAAATAATGATGGGAAAAAAGAAAACGTAGCGCGATAAAGCTAGGGGATTTATTCTTACACTTGCAGCAGAATTGGGTCATCTTTATTGTATTGAACTCTATTTGAATTCAAATGCAGCGGATTTTATGAATGGGGTGAATTTAGCGGTTGGCGGAGCCTCTGCTTTATCGGAGGACCTCATCAATATCCATCTAACTGTATTAGTTAATATTGTTTTTCCTAGTGGAGAGCTTCAGTGGATGAAAAATTATTCAAGAATATTGTGCGATGGAGTGATAAGGTCTGCTTGTTCAGTGTAACGTTTTCATTATTCACATTAGTTTCTCTTCTTTGCCTCCTAATCCTGGAAGCAGCAGATTATGATAGGGTCTTACTTGTTCAGGGTTCCCAAGAAACATACTTTAGTGGTTGATTCTGATCAAGATTCTTTGGAAAGCAAGACCTATAACGAGGTATTATTTATCATATATTGTTCATAGATACATTTTTTAAAAACTATTTTGCATATAAAATTTAAACAAAAGATATTTCTTTTTATCAAGCTCGAACATTATTTTGCAACTGCGTTAAAATCTTTTTAACATTTTTATGCAAGTGTTTGATTTAAAATAATTGTTTTCTTGACTGGTCAAATCATTGGAAGATTTAACCATATAAATACATATATTAACTTGTGGAATAATTCAATAGACAATATTTATTCTTATAATCAAGGATAGATATACAATTCTGCTATTTATACGAAGACATCTAATTAAATAAATTAATTCAATATTAAGAATAAAATTGTAACTTTTAAAAGTATATAGATCAAAACAAAATATAATGTTCTTCAAAACCTAAACGCGGCATTGTCCTCCCTATCCCTTCAAGGGTCAGCCATTACACGTGCTATTTCACGTGCAGTAGATTGCCTGTGCAAATGCAATTACAAGATGGAAAGCATACCATGCTCACCCTTCCTATTGATTCACAGATCCCAATTTATAATGTGGCTGACAATTCTTGCAATTCGGGGGTAGCATTGTCATTTGCCACTGGTAAGGTTGATGGGCTTTCCGTGTCCTTGCTTTTACACCACATCACCATGTAAAAGCCCAAGGAAACCAGAGCAGCTTCAGTTATATTGCAGTAGATCAAGACTAACAACAGGTCCCACATCAGCATCGATGATCATGCAACGAGGGAAGGATGTAACAAACACGATCCCTCTTTCACCATTTATTTAAAACATGTTAGTTTTGATATTTATTGATTTATAAACTAGCATGATATTTGTGTGACAGAGAGTTAAATTGAATGGTTAACCAAAGCAAAATTAAAATACGTATAAAAATTATAAAACTACTCACATAACTTTTTCTTATGTAAATTGATATACATAGAAGGAGAAAATTTGCCCCTCTTGTTTAAAATATTTAGTTCTGCCACTAGACATCAGCATTACTAGCATTATCGATCACCTTGGCAATGTCATGCATCCTCCACAAGTTCATTGTCTCCAACCTGTTTAATAACTAATACAAATTCAAATAATTTATTATGAGATATGATCTAGAACTAAAAATATTATTTTGATTTGAATAAAATCAAAATTTAATTCTCATTATTCACAAATAATTATTCACAATTATTTTTTAATAATATCAAATTTGATTTGATATAAAAAACAATCTAATGGTCGACTAAAAAATGAACGGATCCTGAAACTAGTTTAGTTCAAAAAATAATAGATTTATTCTCGATTAATATTAAAATTAACTTAAAAATAATTCATTATATATATATATATATAAACTTTGCTACGCTGCTAATGATGTAGCTAAACCATCAAGGTTGAGGCATGTTTCTCGTTGAAGCCTTTGACAGCGGCAAAACTCCCAAAATTTATGCGCAACAACTATGCAATTAATAGATCCATTCAAAAGCCTTGCACGTTATGGAGAGAATTTTCTTAATTATAAAGGGGTGAGTTAGAAAGCAAGTGCCGATTTTATATCACAATACGGGCCTACAACAATTCGAGCAGAAGAGTCAAACCAACCAAACCCAGTTTAGGAACCAGCGGATCATGACTCAAGAAAGAAACAAAATACATAGCACGGAAATGGCAAGTGAGTAGATTTGTTTCGGTCCATTTCTGTTGGAAATGAGAAAAGGTTGTAAAGGCCCAAATTCCGAATCAAGGCTTTGATTGTCGAATCCATAAAAAGGGCCCTGGACTTATTTCTTTTGAGATGACTTGCAGATTTGCCCTGACTAGAGAACTCGAAAAGCCTAAAAACATTTCAACTCTGTCAATCTTACCGAACAAATCGGGTGAAACAAAAAAGAGGGCAATCATAACTCTGATCCATTCTTTGCAGCACACAGGGAGTTCAATTGCGATGACTCTCATGGATGGAAGCATCGCATCACGCGATTCTCCCGTCATGCTTAGGCCCTTAATCAATCTCTCATCCTCTATCGCTTTTCTTATTAATGTAACAGTATGTTGAAATTCTGGGTATTAAATGTTCAATTCAAAAAATATAATGGTACTGAGAATAGGTTTACATAACAAAAAAAATTTGTATACGCATTGATGAAGTTGTCCATCGCCATAAACCTTTATAACAAATTCTTTTGAACATTGATCCGTGTATCGAAGTTATTTATGTTAAGATGATCCATTTTGTTAAAACCTTTTTGTAGTAAGGTGACGAGGGCAGTAAGTATATGTCACATTCGAATTCATTAAAATGAGAGACTAATCCGAACATCGCACATCAATTAGTTCAACGCTAGAAATTGAACTCAAAAAACCATTACCAGTTAGCTAGAAATCCAATTTTAGAGAGACTTTTGATGTGATGCTTTCAACCTTGTTTTAAAGTGTTATGACGCAAACTTGTTGAATTAGAAGACTGGACTCTTCACATTAGGAATTTTAATTTTTATGGTCCCATTGCCGGTTAGATTGGGTAGGTTGAAACGGTTGAGCTTGTCAAAGGTGTCGACTTGGTCTCTTCAATTAATTCCTAGAAAACTTTAAACCACGTGAATTAGCATTATAAACTAACGTTGTTAATTCCGCTCTGATGACCGTTCTGGTTTTGTTATTGGTATAAATATTTTCCGTATCATTAACGCTTCGACATTCTGTTTCGAGATTTTATAATGAAAGTAATATTTTTAACATAGATAAATTACAATCTAAATATTTAACTATAAATTAAATTCAAATAATGGGATAGTTAAACATCTAAAAATAACGTGACGATTGAAAATTATCTTAAAAAGGTAAAATAGCCAAACACAAACGAAATGTCAAATAGATAAAAATAAACGAGATTTTGATAAAAAAAAAAAATGTTAAATCGGAAACTGATCATTTGATCATTTACACATGCTATTGATTTCGTGGTGACATGTAAGGAAATTAAAACTTTGTTGTTATAACTTAAAAATACAAAAAATCTAAAACAATACGAAGAATTAAATATAATTCAAAACCTCAACAATATTCATGTAATAATGTAGAAGGAAATGATATCGAAATGATCCGTATATCTTGGATGATGTTTAGTAAAAAAAAAAAAAGATGAGATGAGATTTAAATTTAAGATGATATTAATTTTATATTAATTTTTTTCTCTCTTGGATATTTTTATATATTAAAAATAGAATTAATCATATTAGAATGAGAAATTTTTTTAATAAATATAATTTTAAGATTCGAATTTTATATATTAATAAAAAATTTATTTAAAAACCAAATAGCATGAGAATTGCAGACCGAAAGAACCAAATGATATTAAAAACACTGCTAGAATCACAAACAATATGCATGGCACAGAGAATGGCCTTGTATGCTAGAGCAGTGCTACCAATTAAGCATGAATCAACAACATGGTGTTTAATTATGCGAATTTTTTTAATAGACATTCTAACTGTTATTTATAGGAAATTTACAAAGTCACCTCGCATAAAAAGGGTCAGTTCACCAACAATTATGTTTACGCGCGAGGAGGGGAATTTCGTTCAGTTACGCCTGCCATCTTTTACTTTAGAACAAAAGGTTGATGTAATACTACATTTGTCCATGGATTGACAAAATTACGAGATCCAAGCAATATTGCCAAACAAAATAACGATCAAGGAAACTGTAGCTGAGCATAGAGGGAGCTGTCGCCCCCTTACTTTTTTTCTTTCTAGAATTTATGCATCGTATAGTAATGTTTCTCCCTCTAGATAAATAAAAAATCATAATTGTATATATCACATGTATGTTTTTTTTTCAAGGATGACTGCCAAATATAATATCAGCGATACTTACAATTTTATAAAAAATATATATATTTTTTGAGATATTAATAGGAATATTTTAAATTTGATAACATTTTGAATTACAAAACAGTGTCTATTATTTTCAAATCATGATGATGATTGTGATAATAATAATATAAAAAAATGAGTCAGCTGAAAATTTTATTACTAGTTACAAAATTGATGAGTTTTATATGTTGAAAGGATATGGAACGAAATTTAAGATACCTAAAAGGAATAATAAAATAAAGAGTTTAGTTAGATTATCTTTATGTTATAGTACTTGCCGTTATAATTTTTATAGATATTTAGCATTCATAAAACCTCTATATATTTTTTAATTTCGTTCAGTGAGTTTTTTATCCGTAAAACTTTATTTATTGTATAAATTATTTTATTTTATTGAACCTTTTCATGTATTTTGTTAAAAGAGAAAAGATTGGTTGAAAACATAGTTATTGATGAATACATAGTGCTGACAGCGCTCCGTGGAAGGCTGATGAAATGGTAAAGCTGCCCTCGCGCATTCACACGCATCTGTTCGAAAACAAATGTGAATGGTTCGGGAATTCAAAGGAGCAGATTTTTCTTTAGCATTTAGGTTCGAAAACATCTTATTGAATGTTTGGTTTTTATCTAAACTTACACTATGTTGGTCATTTATTAATAAATTAAATTGTCTAAGGTTATATTTTATTTTTTTATATTCAAAACCTAGACTGTTTTATTCCAATGCCTTTGCATTTAGTCATTGTGTAGCACTGATGTTGTCATATATCCATATATATGTTTTTTTACTTTTGAGGATTTTTTTTTTTTTTCTTTTTCTTATGAGCATGTGACTTGTTTCGCTCTCTAACAATCATTACATCTATCAAATTACATAACAAATAAAACCAATTTTACTTTTTAAACTCCCTAATCTACCACTCTATTAACCACTGTTTTAACAAACTGACACACCAGACAAATAAAAAGCAAAATTGACCATGTTTTTTTTTCTGACCAAAACAAAAAATACATATCTACACATTTAATAGTCATACATGCCAATATTCTCATTCAACATTTGAATCCGTCAAAGCTTCCAAAGTGCAAAAACTTCAAAAACATACATACGCATGCGGTATCTCAAATCTTCTTGGAAAAACAGTTTTTTATACAAGGTTACGACCATAGTTATCCATTGATAAAATTTACAAATGGCTATTAGTATAAATAAATACCATGAGCCACTATCCAAATCACACGATATTTGGAAAGCCTACATTCATCCTGTCCAAACAAACTTCTTCTCTCCAAGATCAAACACAAATAAAAATAGTTAGTTAGTCTTCTACTCTGTTTATCATTGAAAATAAAATTTTAAATCTCTCATTCATGTATTGTTGCAAATAATCATCAAATTAATGACCAAATATCTAGAAATTGCATTACATTTGTTGGCACAACAACGATAAAAAATTTCATACACTACAAAACTTGCTCTATCCAATATTTTTAGATCTTTGTTTCGTAATAATAACAACTCATCCATTAAGAACATCATTTGTTCACTTCTTTAGCATCTATCTTCTCTAATATCAAATTTTATATTTTAATTTAGTGCATGGATCCACATCTATTAAGACAACATAAAAGATTAACAGTACAACACTTGATGCAATCGTGAATCGACAACTTTGAGGTTTTTTTTATTCTTTATTATTAATAAAAACAACAAATATATATATATAGATATGTATAAAGCCTGATTATTTCTTTAATATTTTTAAATTTATTTAACTACCAAAAAAAACATAATATCATTTACTTTTCCAAAGCACATGTAGTACACAGTTAGAGCAAAAATATTACATATAGAAGCAACATGCACGTGGTGTTGTTTCGCATGTACACAGTGCCAAAGGCTTGCAAGTAGAATTATAGATGTATTCTCATGCGCAGTGTATAGACATCTTTAACTCCATCTCCATTCCACAATACGCTCCTTTGAAAACCCACCTTTTACTGTTTTATATTTTTCGACTGTAGTGTATATTAAACTTTTTGTGATAAATCAGCTCCTTAACCACATGACTTTTTTTGACAAAAAAATATATGTTGTTTTGCTAGCAGATATCGACTCATCTGCACGATCGAAGATGAAGTTGCTAAAGCAAGAATGCTGATGATTGGTATGGTCATTACTTCATATTTTGGCCACTCATGGCAACATCCTATCTTCGACTGCAGATCGATTGACAGAAACACAGTTCCTCAGCTCTTGATTCACATCAATGAACACAACATTTTCAGAGTTCGTCGCAATCTATATTACGACTAATCATCGAACCACAATTTTATTACGACTCATGCCTTTGACGACGACGATGTTGTTGCAAACCAATACAATTGCATTCCTCCGTGCAACTGAATGCATTTTTTACTTTTCACAAGCTAATACCAATAGAAAACCATCATCATCATCTCTGCTACTTATTGATGTGCACTTTTATATGAACCTTTCGTGTTTTCATATTTTATCGTACAAACATGCATAAAGAAGAAAAATAAAAACCTTTGCAAAAACTTTTTCTCACAGATAAATAGGGGTGACACATCAAAATCATCATCCAAATATTTTTCTTCCTTATATAATTGAATTAGGTTCTTCGTTGTTCTTAATAAAAACTTGACGCACTATTACTCTTTACTGCAACTAACATCACACGATACGTTATGCAGTATGGGGATCTAACTCGTATCTTCTATACAACTTAAATAAATATTGATTCATCCAAGGAAAATAGATAAGAAAAGGAGACTTTTATTTTTGGTTGATTTGGGACTCAATCACATATTTATAAACGTCAGGGATCAAATCATAATTTAGAGTTTATATACGTGATAAGTGCATGTCGCTCTGGGCTTTTCCGACATACTTCAGATACAGACTCGAATTTATTTATTTTTGGTGAAATCTCAATTCAATCCCTAATCTATATATTAATTCTCTCAATTGTACCCCAAAACTAAATATTTTATCAATCATTTTCACAGTACTGATGCTTTATAGAATAAAACATGCAAAGCAAAGAGAAAAGTATTAACAAAAAGTGATAAAAGAAACATATGGGATCAATTGATAAAGTCCTTTGTATTGGGACTAAATCGAGAATGAGTATATAGAACAGTGACTGATTTAATATTCCCTCTTTTTTTAAATCCCAACCAAAGGATGTGCTTTTAGGCGTGTTTATTATTGCTATGATGTGTTGTGCTGCGTTGCTATTATGTATTTAAAAATATTTAGTTAAATTACATTAACGTGTTTTTGAAATATAAAAAAATCAATAAGAACTATGTTATGATATTTTTTTGAATGTTTAAATTTCATTTAGATTAAATAATTTAACCTTTTATGAGAGTAATTTTTAAGTTAAAAAAACTAAAATAAAAAAAATCAAATAAAATGATAATAAATGCACGAACATTGTTTTAATAAAATCAATGACAGAGAAAAAAATTTAAAAATATAATTAGATAAAACACTAATATTTTTTGAATGCGTAATTTAAAAAACAAATACAGAAAAAAAAATTTCTTTAAATTTTTAAAAAATGAAACCCGTAACAAGTAACCGTGCTTCTGATTAAAAACAAGTTATCCCACTTTGTTTTAAAAATAAAACAAATATTTAAAATAATAACTATTTTGGTTTTAAAAAAATATGCGTTAGCCCAACATTGTTTTTATCCTAAAAGCAACTGTCCTTTAAAAACAGCACAATATTAATGAGGCACTTTATCACCTTCCATGTCTAGTGCTTTTGCTGCCGAAACTGTTCATTTACTACATGTTATCGGCCTATCGATCCCCCCTTGTTGAAAAGTCTCCGCCCTTTGTCCTAAACCCTTTGGCACAACATGTTCAAATTTTTATTTTTAGCTCAAAAAGGTAAAAACATGTCAGTAGAAAGTTTCTTTTTGTAACTGGCATGTATGTGAAAGGATCGTGGATCAACCGGCAGTACGTCAACAGACAAGTCAAATGCATTTGACGGAGGCTTTCGAAACTAGAACAGAGCAATGGCCCGGCCTCTTTGGCCACGGCCATATCTTGCTGGATGAATCACTAGACATTGGCATCGAAGTCGAAGTGGGTCCCACGATCATATCGCAGTCACCAGAAAAGTTCTCGTACATCATGGAGTACCGGATCACAACGTGCTCCCGTGTCTTACCTGCCCTACCTGCTGCCCTTGTTTTGGATGCCGACGACAAAGGCAGCATTTTGCCCCAATCAGTTAGTCCTCCTCATAAATTCACAGGCAAATTACAAATTAGTACTTCTAAATTCAAATTCAAATCTATAGACATTAGATCGACCACTGTTAAATTTAATAACTCAATCAAACCCTGAAATTTTATTTTCGTTATTGAAGTACTAACCTTTATTAAGGGGTAAATTCAAATTCACCCCAAGCTATGTTGTCGTCAGGGATCATGGTGTGTTTCTTTTTCTTTTTCTCTCTTTTCTTTCTGTGATCGTGTGAGCTGCTAGAATCTCTTGCCTTGGTGACTCGGTTGGCTGTCTCCCCTCCTCAAACATTGATTGTTCCGATTAGGGTCTTTTTCCCCCCTGGTCGTGTTCATAGGATCTCTCAAAAGCGAAATTCTCTCTACCCTTCTTCTGGCATTACAGCCTGTTCTCTACTCTCTAACAGCTTCGCGAGTTTTAGGCAAGTCACAAATGCGATGTGAATTGACAATTAATACAATAATAAAGAAATAAGTGTTGGACATGGTTATAATTTGCATGTTCGAATCACGTGTGTTTTCATCATTTATTCTGATTCAAGAAGCTAATGATATAATTGTGCTGAGTTATATAATTTTCGTGTTTGAATTATACGCATTGTCGTGATATACTCTAATCATATAATTGTAATCTAAAACCTAGTAATTTTTTTTTTACAAATTACAGATATGCATTGCATAAATGCGTTGATAATTTTTTTTTTCTGTTTTAAAAAAATATAGATAAAAAACAGATTGATAATATATATTTGATTAAGGAATATTACATCTTTTTATATCTAAATATGTTTTTAAAACTCCCATTATATTTATATTTAAATCATAATTTATAATACAAATCGTTAATAAGACGATCGATCGATCGATCGTACTATGCTTGGTTATATATATAAAGATTTGGTTACTATATTGTGATAATTTTTATAATACTCAAGTAATTAGAGACATGTATAGTAATTACATCCAAATTTATTAAAAGTGATAAAAAAATTTCATATTCCCTCAATTTTTTTAAAAAATTTTCTTTCTTATGTTTCTCTCTCCTTTTTATGTGTTTATCTCTCTTTTTAAAATAAATTCATGAAATAATTACTGTACATGCCACTAATTATTCTTTAAATATTATAAAATTTATCACTATATTGCGGTTAAAATTTGAAATACTTATGTTAATAAAGTTAATCAAATATAGTTATATTGTTTTTCTTTGTAAATATTTAATCAAATATAGTTATATTGTTTTTCTTTATAAATATTTAGAAAAACAGGATAACTATATTTGATTAACTTTATTAACATAAGTATTCTAAATTTTAACGGTAATATAGTAAGAAATTTTATAATGCTTAATATATATATATATATATATATATATATTTAAAAAAACAATATAACTATATTTGATTAACTTTATTATCATAAGTATTCTAAATTTCAACTACGGTAATAAGAAATTTTATAATACTCAATATGTATCGACCAATCACTTGAAATATATTCTTAATTGATTGTTTTACTATTTCAACCAATCATTTTGGGAAGCCTATTGTAGAAACGAATCCAATCCAATACTAATAATAAATAAAGCCAATATCATTATCACACTCCGTTAGCTTGGGGAAAATTTCCAATCCCAGCTATTTTTTTCCCTTTTGGGGTTGGTTTTGAACTAACACATAGTTTCTTTCCAGTTTTCTTTTTTTTTCGCTGGAGATATCTGACCGGGGAAGTGATCACGTGGGGCGATTTGAACTGGCAATTGTAGACGCTGAACAAGTGGTTGGTTACAATTAGCCCACCCATCGGCTCTCTAATTAATCACGCCTAGAAAATACTAGGGACACAAGGGAGATTTTGTTTTCGCATTGCCAGAAAAATATTATTTATATTTGGCTATCCCAATTACGTGAAGGGTTCCCATCAAACTTCTACTTAACAACAACAACGACGATAGCAGCAACAGTCCTTTTTATTCATGTCACCTTTACAAATCAAGCAACTGCCCCCCTACTTCCTAAAACTCTCAATATCTTTTTTAACAACTAAACCTCTCAATCTGATGCGTCAAAAGCCTTCCTCAAATATGAAAATAGTTGAACTAGCTTGTAGCTTTCACGTGGTTGATGCTATTGTAGTTTAATTCTCGGAACTGTAAAAATACTGTTAGTTATTAAATAATACGTTGTGATTTGTTGAACGAAGATTGTAAAAAATATGCCCACTTAATTAGATTGTCATGTGCCGGAGTTTGCCGACGTGTGTCTGAGTCTAGCATGTTCTATTAGCGGTGCTAGCCATCATTAGCTTCAACCCGCGTAACAAATATCTTCACAAACTAACAAAAGTAATTCACGCGGGGGGGGGGGGGGGGGGGGGAGGAGACAGCAGGGATACACGCAAAACTTTTAACCTCTTCTTCGAGGAGAAAAAAATCAAGTTGAGAAAAGGGCGGAAACAGTGAGCATAGGATCCCCGCCATTTTCATACAACACAATCATTTGGTTTTTCTAGCATGTCAAATTTTGTTTTACAAATCGATAGTAATCAAATCAAACAATAAAAATTGATAAAATGAACGCAGGTCTTGAAATGTTATTCATAAGTTTCAAGAGAAGTTAAAAATAAATTTAAGAATTTGAAGTTGCTCTCCAGGTGAACAAACAGGAACGACTGGTATTTGTATGTGGTTAAAAAAAATATAAAACTGCATGCCTTCAATAAATTCTAGAATGAAGACATCTAGTCAGATTTCATTGAATACATGGCAGCAACGAACCCTTCTAGGCTCTAGCATTACTGAATGCATCTAATCTAGTCATATTTTCGTGAAATTTGCAGACCCCAATTTAATATTTGAAGAATGCATCTAGGATAAGCTGCACTTGATCGATACAACGGGCATCCAAAGTAACCAGGCACGGATTTTTGGAGGTGATATTTCGATGATAGTGTATTTCTGTCCTTTTTTGGAAATTAATGCTCAATATAGTACATGGTAGTTCAAAAAAAAAAATTGAGATTTCCAATTGTCCATGGTGCTGAGAAAACTAGGAAATCGATCCACGTGTATGGAAAGCCAACGAAACTCAACTTTTTCAAGATTTTAGGCTATCTTAGTGAAAACAAAACGGTTAAACGACCTGCTCCAATATATTGAACGAAATTGAACTTTCCTTTGATGAGAGTTTATTTCTCAGTACATATATAATGCGCCTGAAATCGACTCATGAATATCATGCCATTAATTTGTTGTTGTCATGCAAATAACATTACTGAAAAAAAAATCCAAAAAAAAACCTTTCAAGCAAATTGAGTAATGAGTTTTGTTGAATACTATTAGAATTTAGAGTTCGTATTCTAAAAGGCAAAAATATAATTAGCTAAACGGATAGGAATTTTTCTTAAAGAAAATTAAATTATTTGAATCTTTAGTTTTTTTGGTTAAAAAGTAATAGCAAGAAATTACTATTGCTTATGTAAAATAAAACAATACCTATTTTCAAAATCCAATACAAAAATTTAATATAATTGTTCTCCAAAGCATATAAGGAGTAGCATTTTTTTTCCGCTTTTTACTTTTTTAAAAAAGCAGGCGTGCATTCTTTTTCCACTTTATTGCTGCCAAGAACTAACGTAACGACACGACCGTAAAATGAAAAGGATAGGAGAACAAAAAAAAAAAAACCCGAAAAGGGCAGCAGTAATAATAATGACAGAGGTCCGTTACCATAGGCTGGCGGGTTCCACGATTCTTCTTCTCTTCTCAATTCTCCCTCCCTCCACCTCCTTTTCTCTGCAAAACTCTGCACAGAAGAAGAGGACATGGACCCCCCACCCCTCTTCTGCTTCCGTCTCTGACACCTCTCTAACTACGATCACAAATCTCTATACATCTATATTTCTTTTTTAATTCATCTAACCCAAGCATATCTCAGTTTCCATCCATCAACCCCCCAAAGAAAACAATAAAAAAGTCAGAATCAAAACTCCTTCCTGATCTCTGATTCGATTACTTCAACATCAACCGTCAGATTCAAATTCGCACTGTTTCTTTAAAATTATGATTTCTATGCCTATTTCCGTTTCTATCTATCTGCAACCATCACTTGCTCCGCGCACTGAAAAAAATCACTGATCTTCAAAACCATGCTCTCTCCTTCTAGAATTCTTACACAATCACCATGAAAACTATACCGTTTCATCGTTTAATCAAACTTACTTTTCTTTCTCATTGCTATGGGCTGTGGAGGATCTAAAGTGGACGATTTACCACTAGTAACTCTCTGTAGAGAGCGCAAAGAAGTAATCAAAGCTGTCTCCGACCACCGCTACGCCCTCGCTGCTGCACACGTGGCTTATTTTCATTCACTGAGAGACGTTGGCGACGCGATTCTCCGATTTGTCGACGAAGGACTCGTGATCGCCTCTTCCTCTACACCTCCTGCCTCTCCCGTACTAACATTACCTCCTCGAGAAGGAAAATCCAGGCGCAAATCGAAAAATTCCACTCCTTCAACGTCACTTTCGCACTCTATAGAAAGCAAAAGTAAAGATGATGAGATTGAAAATTCGCATTTGGATTTGTCTTCCGCGTCGGATACCGAATCGGGCTCAGGTTCGGGTTCGGGTCATATCCACATTCACGATACCCCTGAAGAAGAGGAAGAAGAAGAAGCGGTAAGAGAGGTACCTTTAACTTCTTACAATAATAATTTTAATGATTACCCCCAGCCCCAAACTCAAGGGCATTGGGGTTTTCCTAATTATTCAGGAGATAATCCATATTTTAACCAGTTCCCGTATCCATACTCGTACGAGAATTCGTATTCTAATACGTACTATATGAAAAGGTCTGCTACTCCGGCAAAAACGGTGATGTATGAGGATCCGTCGGTAAATAGGTATTCGGATGGAGGGTCGGGTTACTATGGAGGTGGGTATTTTGGGTACCCGATGATGGGAACGCCTGCAAGACAGCCAAGTCCTGAAACTCCACCACCGGTGCCACCGTCACCACCGAAAGTGTCAACATGGGATTATTTCAACGTGTTTGATGCATACGACAATGGTGTTAGTGGTGGGTATCCGGGTTATAATCCCAATGCGAGATACGGGTATGGTTCGAGTACCAGTAGCCCGGATTCGAAGGAGGTTAGGGAGAGAGAAGGGATTCCTGATTTGGAAGATGAAACGGAGCAAGAAGTGATAAAAGAGGTTCATAAAGAGAAGAAGAAAGCGAGTGAAGAAATGGATGTGAACGGGAAAATGAAATTTAACGAGGAAATGGAAAGGAATTACGGAGAGGGTACTTCAAAATCAGTGCATTTTGAAAGTAGTAGTGAGAGTTTAGAGTCAATTAAGGGTAAAGGAACTAGGAGCAGTATGAGTCCGGATACAATTCAGAGTTCTGATAGCACTGTTTCGAAGAGTCCTGAAGATGGGACTGCGAGGAATAAGGGGGTTAGTTTTGAGGTTGAAGATGCATCTAATGTAACAATGGATGTTGAGTCTTCAAAGCCTAGCAGTGCTGCTGCTACTACATTTTTGGCCCATGGTACAAGGGATCTTCAAGAGGTGGTCAATGAAATCAGGGATGAGTTTGAGACTGCTTCTGATTATGGGAAAGAGGTTGCACTAATGCTTGAGGTGAGCAAGTTGCCTTACCAATACCAGCGAAAAAGTACCCTACTTAAAGGTAGGATTTTGTTTTGTTTTCTTGTTACACGCTAGTTCAGTGGTTTCTTTGATTGCTTCTTAGGCATATGCTGAGACTTCCTTTTGGGTTTATGCTTGTTTTTTCGTGAATCGTCTATCAGAGGTGCTCACACCATTACAGTCTAGGTGAAAGTTTAGAATGAAAGAAAATTATTCTCTGAATGGTTAGATTTCCTTTAAGAATACTCATGGAAAATTTGCTCTATGCTATCCATTACAAGTAGGATTTGAAATATTGGAAATGAAATTAACTTGAATGTTAATTCAATGGCCTTTCTTTTCTTTCGTTCTTTTGATGGGTTCTGCTGGAGATAACTTACTTCTCTTGTTTTGTCAGTTTTAATTATGATCTCTATCAAATACATCAATTTTGCTGCTCAAGTGAAGCTAACATGCCTTGGTGCAGCGATTCTTTCCAGGATCCTGTATTTGGTGTCTTCCCACCCTCCTGCAAGGCCATCAGTACGCATTTCTTCTAGGACAATGAAAATGGCTAAAGCTTACGCTACAGAACCTGGAAATGGCTTTGACATGAGGCGTAGAAGCCTTTCATCTACACTACAAGAAATTTATGCTTGGGAGAAGAAACTATACAAGGAAGTGAAGGTATGAGGCAGTGAAGCTGTGGCTTTCTTCCTTGGTTGCCATGATTTTATTTTTCTAATATTCGTCTAATAACTAAGTTTGAGATCAATACTTGTTAAAAGGCTTCTGATTCATAAGCTTATATGAGGAATTTTTTTCTGCCCATCAACAAATTATCTTGTTTGACATGGAAATGCCAACGTTCCTGTGCTTCTCCCTTGCAGTGATTTTGTTCAAGTGTTTTGGGTGTTCACCGGTTCTTTGATGTACAATATTATTCAAACATGCCTTCCTATGATATCTGAGAAAAGAAAATTATCCATAGAGAAAACAAAATGGAAATTTTCTCAAAATTAGTTGTCTTTATATGATGAAAGATGTTTGAGTATTAATTGCTGTGCTATTACTGTAGTTACTGTTGAATATTTCTTATTTCTTACCACATGAAGTATTTTTGTGAATGTTTAGGATGAAGAGCGGCTACGGTTCATCTATGAAAAGGAGTGCAAAAGGTTAAAAATACTCGATGACCGTGGAGCCGAGTCTAGTAAAATTGATGCTACACAGGCTTCAATAAGGAAATTGCTGACAAAAATCAATGTTTGTATCAGAGCTGTCGATGCTATATCTACTAAGATACACAGGTTGAGGGATGAAGAATTGCAGCCTCAGATCACTGAATTGATTCATGGGTATGCTAACTGCTATGCTTCTTAGCCTTTTCAGTGCTAACCAAACGAGAGTTCATAACTTGCTTTTCTTATACGGTCAATATGACTGTTAGGTCTTTTAGGGCAAATGCGTGGATGGTGGTCCTTGGGGACTTTCCCTTGCCATTTGTCCATACAAGGATGGGGTATTTGCTAGGTTACTTGAACCCGAACTGATTTGTGACCAAGAACTATGGTGATCTCACACACCATCAATGCCTCTTATCCTGCATTGATGTGAATAGAATGGGGCACGTTAGTTGGTAAAATGACCTTTATTATTTGTCTTTACTCATTGAAATTTGATAAACTTGTTTGAATCTTGGTTTCTTCTTGTTCACTGAATCATATTGGTTATATGCATAAGTAGATGGACATCTCTGCTCTTTGGACCTATTAACACTCTGCATTTCTAGCTGCTACTTGATTCCCTTTTTCTTGCGGTTCTAGCGGAATTGTAATAATTGAAAGACTTCCTGGTGTTCATGTATCCTAGTGCTGCAAGTATTTTAGACATGCATAGAAGATGGAAGAAAAAGCAACTCATTTGCTTGTCTTTTTTGTGCTCTCAATTATTTTCCTTTGATGTTTTGTATTCTTCCATTTTCATATGGTAATTGACTTTTATTTGCAGATTGATAAGGATGTGGAAGTCCATACTCAAATGCCACCAGAAGCAGTTCCAAGCTATCATGGAAAGCAAATTTCGCTCTCTCAAGGCACACAGAGATTCTGGTTTGAAAGCGACAGTTGAACTTGAAGTGGAGCTTCTCAATTGGTGCACCTGCTTTAACAACTGGATTAAGACCCAAAAATCTTATGTTGAGTCATTAAATGGGTGGCTTTTAAGGTGTCTTCATCACGAACCTGAAGAAACCCCTGATGGGATTGCACCATTTTCCCCAAGTAGAATTGGTGCTCCGCCTATTTTTGTAATTTGCAATGATTGGTACCAGGCAATGGTTAGGATTTCGGAGGAGGGGGTTGAAAATGCGATGCTTGGTTTTGCTTCGAGTTTACATCAATTGTGGGAACGGCAAGGTGAGGAGCAGCGACAGAGGATCAAAGCAGAGTACCTTACTAAGGATTTTGAGAAACGGCTTAAAACCTTGCGTATGGAGAAGGGAAGGATTGAGCAAGAGCATGATGCCTCATCAGATAAAACTATGTCAAAGGTTCCTTCAGAAAGTGGAATCTCACCACTAGATGATCTGAAGGTGGACTTGGATTCAATGAGGAAGAAATTGGAAGAAGAGAGAGCAAGGCATAAGGAGGCGGCCAAATTAGTTCATGATGCAGCTTCCAGTAGTTTGCAAGCAGGTTTGGTCCCAATTTTTGAGGCTTTGGGTAACTTCACTTCAGAAGTTTTGAAAGCTCATGAAGAAGTTAGGCTTCAAGATGCCAGAGGCCCATAGAAAATGCATCAGCAACTATGTTGAAGGTCCTTAAGGCAATTACCCTGCTTTATAAGGATCACGTATAATTTGAGAGGTTAGATCCTTAGGGAAGAGAAGGAAAAGTAAAATAAATAAATATATATATATACCACTGAGGATAGGCACACCGGTAGAATCACTTGGATAAGATAATGAAAGTGCTATGTAGAATTGCTTATAGAAGCTGAAGGTTTTTGGTGAAGAAATTTGTGCGAGGTGTCAAACGTTGTTTCCTTTTTAATTGGTTCTTCCTTAACCCCTGAGTAGATATGTAGGAATTTTGTACAGAAATTCATTTATTGGTTGATTGGTTGTTGGTGGATGTATTTGGTGTAACTGGACTGTACGGAATGGAGGATTCAGTTGGTGTATGTATACTCCAGTGTAGGAAATTATTAGTTTTTTTTCATTTGAATGAAGTACTTGGTAATGAAATTGAGAAGCACTTTTTTACTGCAATGACATGGGCAAGCATTATAGAATTACTCACCTTTGTTGCCATGCATTTGAATAATCTTCTTATGTCATGCTTTCTTCTGATACGAATTCAGTGACAATATTAATGGAAGGCAAAAGGTTTCAGTGTTTTTTCGTTGAACGATCCTTCGTGGACCAGAATGCTTGATTTCCAGGACAATTGTATAAATTCTAAATTCGGTTAGATTTCCATCCTCTATTGGTAATTAGAATGGTTGATTAATGACCAGAGGAGTTCGCATTCTACAAAATCCATGTTGGCGTTGAAGTCTGCTATCTATCTTTTTACCATCGCGTTGGAGGCTCCATTGCAATTGCGGTGACGGTGGCTATGGTTGTGCGGTGATGGTGGCAGAGCGGCCAAATCAAAGAGGATGGGGTGGTGGTTGTGGGTGGGCCTTTGGGCTCTTCTCTAATCAAAGTGATTCGCTGTTGGATTTTCAGCTTCAGTTGAATCGATGTTAGGCGCACAATAATAGAGGGCATTCAGAAAGTCCATACAAGTGGTTCGATAACAATCTGATATGAAATGGTTCCTTATGATGTCTGGTACCAACCTAAAATTATTAGCGAACCATATAATTTGACAGGGCCCATTTGAGGATTTTATCCAAAGACATGGATCTCCTCCTCTGCACTTCTCTTAATTGGGTTTGGATGGGCATTGCACAAACCTTGATAACTCGGTGAATGTCTCAAACTTGTAAATTTGAAAAGGCTATTCTATTTTTCCTTTGAAAATGCAAAAAAATTCAAAATTTAAAAAAATTGGGTACTGAGGTAAATCATAAGAGAGGCTTTGCAGGTCTTTTATTGTCCATTATTTTGGTCAAACATCATCATAACTCCTAACAGTTCATTGACCGTTGGGTGTGGTCAAATTAATTAACATCAACTGTCTAAGAAAAGAAGCAAAAAAACTTCTTCACAACCTTCAATCTTGTTCGTACAACCATAAATTTTACTACCGATTATTAATAGGTTGATTACTATTGGTATACCAACTTTTCACCTCTCGATTTTTTTTCCAAATCTCCCAATCAAATTCTATCAACCTTCCTTTTCTACTGGGCCTTGTGTGTTTTGACATTTACTAAGTAAAAATTGCAGTATTGGTATATCAACTTACATTTTTCATCGTCTGATTACATTACTTTAATTTTAATTTTGTTTGATATATCTACTTTTGGATTATGCCAATTAAATACATCTATAAAAAAAATCTGTTATTTTCTTTTTTATGTGGGAATCGCATGATATGCATTTATATGGTTGGAATAACTAATATTTTAACTATTAATTTTAATTAATCATAAAATAAATTTAGTTTTAATGTAGATGGTTTGCCATTGATCAGAATGGAGAAGCAAATTTAATTTGAGTTTGAAAAATTAATCCAAAAATATCAGGCGATTGTAAAAAAAAAAAAAAAAAAAAAAAAAAAAAAAAACACAAAACTCTCGAGATAGCTTTCTTCATAAAAAAAAGGTGTTTTTAATTTAAGATATTGTTTTATTAATTATAATATTACTTTGGAGATAACTTTTCTCATAAAATAGTCCCATGTTAGAAAATGAAAAACATATTTGCAAAAGTACTTAATTGGTACAATTGAGAAAATTGACATATTAATAAAAATAAATTAAAACTTACTCGGTGGAGAAAAATGACTATTATGTAAAAGGAGAGAGAAAACATAAAAGAAATAGGAATCTATGGACAAAGATGGAAGGAAATCATTTTAGTTAGTGACGACAATGAGTCGATTGTAAAATGAGTATCCATTTTACTCGATCTAATAAATAATTTTTAAGAATATCCAATAAGTATTGAAGTGGGTAAAGGTAAAAAATGCATATATATTAATATGATCTTGGGGTATGAATCTCTACTCTTTATCCTATTGACACTCACTAATTTATTTAGATTTTTTTAACATATATGGATCTAATTACATAAAAATTACAAATGATGGACTGTTTTTTTTAAAATATATATTTTAAGGATCAAAATTGGAAAATTATAAGAACTAAAATGAATATTTTTGCCAAATTAAATTTAGCATGTATTAAATTGATGAGTAAACTAATATGGATCTAGTATGGACTAGATAAAGATTTATATTATCATTTTTTAATAAGAAATGGATAGAGTATTCTTTCTACGTGTAATAAAAAAAATTAAATTAATGGGTCGGATATTCGTTAATGGTCATTTTTAATTTTAGTAGAAGTTTAGAGTATTCAAATGAAGAAAATTAAATTTCATGAACTTGATGGATAAAAAAATTTAAAAAAAACGTACCAATAATGTAATTATTCTGGTCATTAACGTATAATAATGGCAATTAAATTAAATTCCTTAAAAATCGATCAAAGAGACTTTCACCGAAAGAGACTTTTAAAATAAACAAAAATGAGAATGAGAATCAAAACTAAAAAAATCAATCGTATGCTGCCTTAGTGACTATGACGTTTTGTTATTTAATTGGCTCAAACTATCTTCATCTGTACACACGGAGCCACCGTATCAATATCAAGCCATTATACAAAACTGCTCAACCTCGGCATGTAAATCAAAACATATACTTGCCTTAAAATTTCTAACCTACCAAAATATGTAGGGGTGACTCGACTAAACCAATGAAATCCCTCAACCTGGCGAAACCACCACCAAGATAGCGAGTGAGCTTAAAAAGGTACTCGAAAAGGTAAATATATGTAAATATCTACAAAGTATGTCGTGTGTTACTTCAATGTTCGTGTCGTTCTCCTACTACTCATTAGCCTCCATAAAACTCTTAACCCACCTAAAGGAAGAATTAGACATAACTCGAAACTCTCGAAACTCTCTCTCAATTGCTAAATTATGGCTACTTCTAAGGTTTCGAGATAGTTTTCTTTATAAAAAAAGATATTTTTAATTTAAGATATTGTTTTATTAATTATAATATTATTTCGGAGATAACTTTTCTCGTAATATAGTCCCATGTTAGAAAATGAAAAACGTATTTACAAAAATACTTAATTGTGTTATGAAATAATAAATGTCTATCATCATGTTCATCTACTTTTCATATCCGCACTACTCATGATTCTTAGTATGATTCAATTCATTATTTACTATGAGAATTTGAAATAGTGATGCAATTGAATATTCATAGTCCCTTCCAATTCTCTTTTCAATTTTGAAGCCTATAAATAGGCTTGATTGTTGATTAGTTGGGGTACAAGTTTTCTAGAGAAAATAAGAAAAACTTTGAAGTTCTTATCACTTATATTCACATTATAGTGATTTATTTTCTTATCATTATTTTCTTCAATTCTCTTATTATTTCTATTTATTTTATAACACGTTATTAACATAAAATTCTAACCAATCGAGATAATAGACCATGAGGTATGTATCTACCAAAATGCTTAATCAATTATTTCAATCACTCGGATTTCTTTTGCACAATTGCTCTACCAATTTGATCTAAATTATTATTTAGATCATTAAGAGGTATGTATCTAATTTATTATGTATTTTAAATCTAATGATACATAGAATATACATTTGAAAAATTTTAATGATTTAATATATAAAATCTAATAATTTAATATATATTACTTGAAAAGTTCAAATTTTATTATTATGTTTGTTTTTATTTGAATTTTATTATTATATTTTATCTTTATTTTCTAACATTATTATTATACTTTGCAATATATAATTTTAATGATATCGACCATCACAAAATTTGATTTCGTGGCCCTCGACATTTTGGGTAAGAATTATTGATCATGAGTACTTGATGCTCGAGTTAATATTATTTACTTTTCATGTCTCGAATATGCTCATGCAGTAACATATCAAGAAAACGAGTTTAAGAAATATTTTGAATCAATTTCATACTTGTTCATGTCGGCTAAATAAAATGATAAGCTATTGATGAAAAAGAATAAATCTCGACCAATTGGATATACTCCATTCCCTAAAGTGAATGTGACAATTTATAATAATTTTAGGCATGGAAGAAGATGTGATCATAGCCATGGATGTGATCGAAATAATTATCATTATAATCGAGATGACCATAATATTACATCTCACCACCGAAGTGGATAACTATGAAAAAAAGAGAGTAAAAGAATGAAAATAGATTAAGTTATCATTCTGAAAAATAAATATTATAGATGTGGAATAAATAAATATTGGTCGTGTTCCCGCCTTACACTAAAGCATCTCATTGAGCCTTGTCAAGCTTTATTGAAAAATAAAGAGTAAAATATGAAGGCCACTTTTATATATCAAAATAATAATATTTAAAATTAATTACTTGTTAGTTTTTCTATTTATAAATAAAATATTTTATATTTCTTATAATTTATATCGTATAGTGATGGTTACAAATTTATTTTATTGTTTGTGTTTATGATGAATATATTTATTTATTTATTTTGTATTGATTTATTTGATTATTTGTTTTATGTTAATATTATATATGATAATATCAATCT